ATGTGTGTGTGTGCGTGCGTGCGTGCGTGCGTGCGTGCGTGCGTGCGTGCGTGCGTGCGTGCGTGCGTGCGTGCGTGCGTGCGTGCGTACGTCACCGAAGCAGAGCAACGGTATGCGACACGTCACTAAATCGCGTTGACAGTTATACGAGCTGGTCTTTCGCGATCTTATAGCTTGAAAATTCCGTCCAAGTAGATACACGTAGGTGCCAATTATGGCCCTCGTTCATGGTAGTTTCCCCGCGGAAAACTGTGCGGTTATAGTCGCAAATCGAATCGACTCTAACGCGAATTTATATTATGTACATCTCAGTTACGAGCACACGAAGGAAAAGCTTGGGGACGCACGTGGTTTGACTGCGTAAAAAAGCGGCGCCTTTCGGACGCGACGTTTATTTGACTTTTTCGCTTGTATATCTAAATGAGTCGACATTATTCCGTTGATTAGGATCTCGGAAAAAAGAACAACGCTTATAAAAGAACGGATGCTTTGCTTTATGTTTGCTCGCCGTAAATACGTGCGCCGTAAATACGTGCGCGTTTCAGACTTATGTACACGTACGACTGTTGGAATTTCAAAGCGCGGATTTTGATGGCGGTCGATAAATTTGTTTTATAAGGGCTAAGTAGGTCAAGGATCGAGAAGCATTATCGCGGAATCAAACTATGTCGCTCGTAAATCATACGTGTGTAAATGGGAATTAGCAATGAGCATGTATATAACGCGCAATCTACGAAAAAAAAAAAACGAAGCGGAAAGCGAAGGTGGAAGAAATGCAGAAAAGTACATTAAAAGAATCGAGAAAACGGTTATTTAATAATAACAATTACAAGGTGGTTACCGATTACACCCAGTGGTAGGTATAGGCCGTTAGGTAGATGGCTAAGACAAGCTTTGCTTGCTGGCTCTTTTGCATAACTACGTCTTTTGTCGGCAGTAAGTAGCGCAATCCGCGGCGGGCTGCATTAGTTATGATAAAGTTTCATTACTTCCGACAGTTTCGATAAAGATAGATTCGGGGACGTGACATGCCGATTTCTTAAATCTCTTAAATCTCGACGCTAAATGACGCGATAAACTGGAACCAGAAATAAGCTAAACTAAATTATCTTTCCATAGAAATTATTGAAAGTTATTCTCAATTATTATTTAATGCGGGCGAATGTTCATTGATTCAGGAAAAGGAATTTATCAATCGGAATTTTCGTTTTCGCGCTTTTACCACAAGTGGCAGGGACGAGAGATGAGGGAGGGGGTGGGGGGGGGAGGTAGTAGTCGAAAACAGAGGGCAGGTCTGGCCAGAGAGGGCACGACGGAATCGCGCGAAGCGGCGATTACGGCGAGTGTGCCTTTATTTAGACGGGCAGCCGTCGATCGAACAGTAGTTTCCGATGTTCCTCGAGCGAGGAGAATTAACAACTCGACATTCAAGCGTCCGTGAAGAACGAGCGATGAGATCGAAGAGGTGAACGCACTGGCGCGAAATTTACGTCGGGCTGTGCGCGTGTGTGCGTTACGCACGTGCGTGTTCGCGCTCGCTCGCTCTCACACGCGCGACGGTGTGCACGCGTGCGTGGGACCGTTTGATCTTTGCGAATGGCGCGAGTACATCCGCGTATTATTAAATAGATAACGGCCATAAATTTGGCCGGGTTACATAAAGAGGCGCAAAAGTGCGCGTTAAGGTCCGACCGTTCTATTTCTGTGCCGGCGACCGGGACGCGTTCTAGG